GTAATTTATTTCAGGCATCATGTTTTTTATCTCATTATAAGAAAGATTCAGGGTGCTGGGTTACCTGAATTACCTTGTGGCTTTTCAGATCATGAGAGACCAACCTGTATGTGAATCTAGACACAATTTTTCAAGACCTCAACTTTACACATATGCGTTTTTATCTATCATATACTTAGGAGGAAAAACAAATCACTGGAATTATCATTAAATCGCAGCGTTTCCCCAGAATCATGTGATATTTATGATGAGTAACTATCAAAATCATCATGTAGTTGATAGGTTAATAAATATGCTTTCTATAAAATATAAACTCCGTCCAACTGATTGTACTAACAGGCAATAACCACAGTACAGATCAAATAATCAGGGCACTTATCAAGATCTAATGAAAATAGCTCAACTATTTTAAGATAATAATTATCTTTGGGAGACTATCTTATGGTAAAGAAATAAAAATAACTTGAATGGCAAAGATATTTCTGTGAAGTTCTATAGAGATGTATTTACATAAACATCCTACCATACGAGAATGGTTAGCTAAGTTTTCTGGCTACTCCGAGGTACAGTCCCCGCTCCTGTGAACTGCGGGTTGCTGACTATCAGCTGCCTGGGACAATGGTCTGCTTCCCACGGACTTCAGTTGAGCGCATGTAGCCATGGCAGGGCCTGAGTTTCTGGAGGACAAGAGGATAACAGCAGGCATCTTCCTGACATCTTCACTGAGTTTGGACTCAACTGCACCTGGCGGCCATTGCCCTTTTCTCCCCAAAGAGGAGTGCAAAGACTTCTGGCAACTTAAGTGTTCCCATAGGTTCGGCCACTTGGCCACGATTTACAGGCTTACCTGAAATTCTATCTTTTATTTACTTTATTAAGAGAAACCAGGCCCTAAATTCCTCTCTAAGCTATAAGATACACAAAAGCCGTTTTCAAGCTGTTTTGAGGTTCCTCCCGGAGTGGGAGAAACATGCCAGCACTGGAGGGCTAGCTAGTGTCTCACCCCCATACACTAGTCTGCTAAGATTTCATTTGATAATAACATTTGACTTAAATAACCTAGGAGAGGATTGGGAAGATTAGTTCTAGCCTCAACCCTATATGGCAACTGTAAGACCTTAGACAAGCCACGTTTCCCTGGCTACAGTTCCTGGGTTGGGGTCCCCATTCCATAGAAGCTGCTTAGCAGCCCCTGAGTGCAGCCAACTCCCCCTCCACCCCCCAACCCCCCTCCACCCCGGCCCCCAGAAGTCAAAAGGGAGGTCCTCCTCATCTCCACTTTGAATAGTGCAGATTTACTTCCTTTTTTTCACACTGGACTTCCGCATAAGATATCATTTTATTCCTTTTTTAAATGTGCTAAATAGTGAATTCCATGAACACTATGTCCTTTCAAACTCTGACATTATGCCCTTCCACAGGACAACATCTGCTGGAGAGTGCATTCTTAAACTAAATTAGGAGAATCTGTCTTCCTAACAATTAAGAGCCATGAAGTCAGACTGGTAGCTTCATTCATTCACATATTCATTCGTTTTAACTATATAACCAAAAAAATACATACTGATCATTTACTTACTATGTCATCAGACAGCACGTTAAGTATGGGGGTACAAATAGTGAACAAAAGAGAAGCAATCTCTGGCCTACTGCTGCTTTCAAGGTTGTGGGGGAGGCAAACACTAATTCAACAAATACACAAATATTCTGTGGCATGATAAGGCAACAAAAGACACTACAGGGAGCCAGGAAAACTTGTAACAGCAGGTGGGGAGGATCAAGTCTGAGGAAGTTGGGTTCCATTTGCTAGCTCAATCCCAGTGCACCTGGGTAGGCTGAAACCAAGCCTGGCTTCTGCCTGAATTATATGTCACAGGAGACCTAAGAATAAGGTATTACTCAGAACTGAAGAAGGAAAATCTTACGCAGCAGGGAATGGAAATTTTTAGTATAACTGAATACTATATTCTTCAGTACAGCCTGACTAAAAATAGCCTCATGGGGGAAGAGGGCACACAGGGAATAACCATTAACAGGCTGGGGTTCAGAAGGAGGCTCACAGCCACTGTGCTTGGGGTGGCTGCACTAGCAGAGGCTGGAAACCCGACTCACACTTGGGATTTGTATGGGTTTAGCTGGGTCTGCTTCTCTCTGACCACACGAAGGCAAGCCTCCCCTCACCAGTTTCTGAAGGCCTGACAGGGCCCGTGGAGTGCTCCGACAGGGCCAAACTGTTCCAGAACCCCAGGGCACACCTTCAAAGCCTGTACCTTGTTCTCCTTGTAGAGAAACTCAAGATGCAAAACCTTACGGAGATCATTTCTGCTGTTTATGCTGAGGTCAGAGCGTGGGCGTTCCTGGTCCATGGTCACACACGTCTTCTTTAAACCCTGAAGGGAGAAATCCGAATCATTATTTACCCTTTTAAATTAAAACCTTCTGTTGTCTGACGCAGAGTATAAACAAAAGGCTCTTGATGTTCATTATCATCAACCTTATCCTGCCTTCCTTACAAGGTGATTGTGGACCAAAAACTGAATTAGGAATTTACTTTTATATAACCTTATACTTGACATTATCTTCATCATTGCTATTTAAGTCATACAACAACCTGGATTGTTACGGTAAAGCTGGAGCCATAGGTCCACTTTGTTAGATAGGGATTCAAGTAACTACTCACCCAAGGCCTGGAGCCCTGGGTTTGACCCTCAATCCGGGGCCACAGAACGTGAAGCTTTAAAAACAAACAAAAGGACAAACATAAACAAAAAGCCAGATTAATTCCCTCTTTTTCTCAGATGGGGAGCCAGCGCTGATTTGTCCAAGGTAATGGTGGAATTATGCAATGAGGGCCATCTCAGACCACGGTGTCAGCAGGCCGGGAAGTGAGCCCATAGGAAGCCCTTGGTAAACATGTGCTGAGTCCCCAGCGAAGCTGCTCTCCATCATCCAGCCTGAACTCTCAGAAGGCCCAACTAAGACATACTCTGGCAATGAGAAGGCCTGTTCCCCTAAGAGCTTGACTTCTTCATTTGAAAAACAACCACAGCAGCTGTGCCTGCCCACCTCACAGGGCAGTGGTGATCACCGCATGGCCAGAGGATGAGGCGACGCTTCACAAACAGCTCAGACTGGTGCTGAGGGAGTGCTGGTTCCTGATGGGCCCCAGACCCCAGTGCTGCACAAGTCTCAAACCCCTGCACTTTGCTTTCAGACTCCTACCGGTTCTCAATGCTGAAGAAACCAGACAAAACCTGCTATCTGCCATGAATTGAAACAAGAAGAATTTCTGTAAAAAGAGGTATGAATACCACCTTGAACCAGAAACAATAAAAAGGAAATCTAAGAGAAAGGGAACAGAAGGAAATGGGTGAGTATCTTGGGAAAAAGATAGAACATGCCTGGGCACATTAAAGAATTGACTGGAAGAGCATAAAGAGCAAGCACCTATGTTTTCTCTGGACTTAACCATGGACTTGCATCAATCGAAGTAATGTGGGAACTTCTGTAATGAGAATTTCTTTCTGATGGATAAATACTTCTGACAACAGTTCAGGCCAGAGAGCAGAGACTCTCTGGGATTAGGGTTCACACTTGCATTTGAACATTACTGCAGAGTGGGATGAGGAATCAGCCAGTCACTGGTCCCACGTGACCCACTCGGTCTTCATTCACTCAACAAACATGTGTTGTGCACCTACTATATGCCAGACTGTTCTGGATGGAAGAGAAACAAAAGGAATAAGGTCAGACTCCACCTTCATGGAGCTGCCATTCTGTCGGGGAAGAAACCCATAAACAAAGAGGTAAATGTACAGTATGGCAGCTGCAAATAGCCACCACTGTGGAGACAAATACATAGGAAGAATGGAGACAAAGATGAAGGACACTATTTAACTAGTTAGCTCTTATCATCCATGTGCTCAATCCCATCTTCTGGTTTGCCCATCTGTTAAGTGAAAGCCATGAACCATTGCTTCACTAGGTCAGCTGCTACAGGGAGAGCAGTAAACACATAATGTTCTGGCACACATGAAGCATAAGTTCTAGAACAGCTTGTGCTGTGTGAAAAAATATATAGCAGAATACGAAACAGAAAGGGTAAGGAAGAGTTATGGGAAGAGTTGCTGCTTTGTAAAAGATAATCAGGAAATGCTTCATGATTAGGTGACATGAGAGTACAGACAGGAGGAAAGTAAGAGGACAGATCAAGCTGGCACTTGGGGAAGAATATTCTAGGCAAGGCACAGCAAGTACAAAGGTCCTGTGAAGCTGAAAGTAAACTATGAAATGCAAAGGAAACAATGAAATGTAAGTGAAAGGGAGCTACTGGAGAATTGGAAAAGTGGAGCATCATGGACTGACAAATGTATGAAAATTAACTGTTAGGTTAAGAACAGATTGTAGGAGATGAGGCATTAACCAGAAGCCAGTTAGGAGGCTATTGAACAACACACATGAAAGAGAAACGTGGCTTGGGCCAAGGTGGTTACAGCAGACTGGGAAGAAGTGTCTACATTCCTTATGTACTTTAGTGATAAAGATTAACTAATAGAATGGATGTCAGGATTAAAAAAAAAAAGGGGGGGGGAAGAAAATCAGGACTAATTGCAAAGGTTTTGGCCCAGTAAGCAGCAAGATGGTGAAGCTACTGATTGAGATGGGGAATATTGCAGGAAAGGTGATAGAGGAAATGTAGAATTGAGTTTGGGTTGCATTGAGGTGTTTATTGGCTATCACCAAGTGAAAATATAAAATAGGCAGTTGGAAAGAATGTAAAAATTCAGTGAGAGGTCTTGACTAGAAGCAGACACTTGAGAATTATCAGCATATCGAAGGTATTGGAATCCACAAGCCAGATAGAGGCCCCTGGAGAGTGGATAGAGATTTGAAGAGGGCCAGAGACTGAGTCTTTGAGTTCACCAGTATGCAATGCTCAAAGAAATGAACAGACCAGCAAAGAACCTGAGTTGTGAGTAAAAGAGGAAACCCAGGGGAACGCAGTCTCCAGAAGCGGAGGGGAATACATTTCCATAAAGGAGGACATGATCAACTGTGTCAAACGTAATTGTTAGAACAGAAAATATAAGAACTGAAAATCAGGGGTCCTTGTTGAACTTGACAAGTTGTTCCCAAGAATTGGTGGGGACAGAAACGAATGAGGATGAATCTGACAAACAGGGAAAGTGTACACATGGCATTTTCAGGGGGCTTTGCAATAAAAAGGAGAGGAAAAGGGGGCCGTAGCTGGAGGGGCTTGGGGGTCCAGATAGCACTCTGTAGGAGCATGTGTATATGTTGGTAAGATAATCCAGGAAAGCAAACCTATGTGCAAGAGAGAGATGATGGGGACTGCAATAGTGCACACAGGGGACACACACACGGGAAGGGCAGGTCTTACTCAGGCATATGGAGAAACCATCATAAGAAAGGAGGGCAGACATGGGCCCTCTCTGGTGGTGCAGATAAATCCATGTTACTCAGCTGCCCGATTGCGAGAGGGAAGAGAGGAATGGTGGGGACAGAAGAGCACTGGACAGGGGTTAACTGTGAGGCTGGGGTTGGTGGGTGTAGAAAGACAATAGAGGGGGAAGACAGAAGTGAGGGAGAAAAAATGAAACAAAAAAAGAAAAATTAGGGGCTCTCCCTAGTGGCACAGTGGATTAAAATATAGCTCACAAAGCTAGCAGCAGAAGCTTCAGCATGAGTTCGAGCCCTGTCCAGGGAAGTGATCTACATAGCGCAGCAGACCTCTCCTGACCCGGCCCCCTGCTCCCTTCAGCAGTGTATTTCAGTAGATCGCCTGTTCTGCTCCCCACTCTATCTCTGGTAAATCCTCTCGTTCTCCGCAACTCTGGCCTGTATCCCAGTTCTTGTATGCATAAATAAATATTTAAAGAAAAAAAAAGAAGAAGAAAGGAGGGCAGGTAAATGATTCAGGCTCAGAAGGTTAGGGGATGTGGCAGGAAAGCCTGATTTCTCATGGCTGTTTCTATTTTCTCAATAAAACTAAATGAGAAAGGATCTTTGGGTTTGAATGGAGGAGAATGAACATCCAAGTGGCTGAGAACCACAGGGGTAAGCGGCCATGAATTTGGATCAGAGCCGTCAACATGGTCCCACTTCTCCCTGGTCCCACTCAGCTCTTCAGGGCAGGCGTGAAATAGGCTGAGTTGACTTAAAAATAGAGAGAGTATGATGCCAGGCAAAAAAGGTGAGGGAGCAGAGCATGGTGTTGAGGGTGCGATTTCCAAGAGGTAAGAAGAGAACAGAGGTATATGGGGCTCCCATGTGGGGTGAGGCGGAAGTGAGGAAGCCTGGACCTGAGATCAAGGAAAAGCTGCAGTACTGATACTGTGGAGCCTAGGACATGACATGCGAAAGGGTGCTGAAGGTGGGATGGGGCTGGTCAAGCAAGAGTGGGGCCATGAATGTGGAGGGCTGGGGCACCACAGAGTCGCCTCAGTGGACCTAGCATCACCAGAAGGACTGTGACATCACCAAGAGGCTCTCTTGACTCTCTATGAGAGGAGATAATGGGGACGCATTCAAGAAGGCCAGTGTAACTGGGTTTGGTAGGGGCGGCAGTGGGAGATGTGGAAGAGAGCCAAGAGCCAGGCTGGGCAGGTCCTGGTGAGGCCTTCCCTTGCATTTTATTTTAATTGTAATAGGATACTCAAAGAGGTTGTAGGAAAGGAATGACAAGATCCAGCCTGCTTACCCTGGGCAAGTTTCTTCACCTCCTAGTCTCATGATAGTCGTATGTGAAAGGACTAATTATATTAGTCTTTCAGAGCTATTATGAGTACTTGAGAAAATGAATAGGCAACCAGAAGATGCCCCCATTGTGAATGAGAATTCTCTTGGCTGTGATGGCTGGTTACTGTCTGGCACCAAGCCTTATGGGAAGTACGTGGTCTCTGCTCCAGCACTCCCTGACATTCTGAGTGACCAGAAGTAACTCCTTTCTCTTCTCTGGGCATTAATGTGCCCAAATAAAAAGTGGAGAGGAAGAGACCAGTGAACCAATTACCAAGGTTCTGCAGGTCTCAGCTCTGTGGTCCTGTCTAGTAGGCAAGACAAGTAGGTACATAAACTACAACATGAGCATCAGTGAGCCAGTCACAGACAAGATGAGTCAGTCGCTTCAACAGGGGTTAACTGAGAGACCCCTTGTAGGAAATGGAACTGGGTGGGCCATGGTTGAAATAGCGGAAAGCGAGCGGGAGAAGTTGGTCATGAGGTTAGAGGGTACGTTGGGGTTATTTGTAGGAGCTGCCAGCTGCAGTCCGAGGCCCCTGGATCATGTGAGGACTCTGGATTTCATTTGTACTCAAGGAAGAAAAGGGGGAGGAAACTCTGAGAGTTTTGCTTGGTAGTGAGATGTTTAAAAGAGATGATGGCAGCGGTCAGCCTCACAGGGTGTGTCGTTGATATCCAGCAGCAGGCAGGACTTGGTGAAGGAAGGTCAAGGAGTCATAAAAACTGAGCAGATACGGGCCCTCCCTGGTGGCACAATAGGTCAAAAGCACAGCACTGCAAGGTAGCCACAGCCATTTCAGCATGAGTTCGAGCCCCAGCCTTGGAGGTGACCACATGGTGTAGCAGACAGCTCCTGTCTCACCTGCTGCTCCCCTCAGCAGTGTACTTTATGAATCTGCCTGTTCTGTTCCCCACTATGTCTCTGGTGAATCCTCTCACCATCCCTGTACCTCTGGCCTGTACCCCAGTTCTGTTTGCATAAATAAATAAATCTTTAAAAAAAAAAAAACTTGCTTTTTTTTTTTTTTTTTTAGTTTTAAACAAAAACATTGTTGAAAAGAAAACAGATACTTTAGAAGCAAGGGCAGAGATGGGGTAGGCAACAGTGTGACCCACCTACTATGTGCCAGATACAGTGCTTGGGAGCCATCCATACACTGGTCCTACTATACTGTTTCACAGACAAGGAAACTGAGGTGAGTAACATACTGAGCTCGCAATACCTGAGTAGCAGGTATTTGAATCTCTCCATTTGATTCCAAAGCCCTTTCCATTCCTTTATTCAAAAAATTTTAATTTTGTTTCTCTGTTTTAGTCCACAGCTCCTGTTCAACATGACAACATATGAAAACAAAGCACACAGCATCTGGCCAGCCCCAGTCACTCTGGAAGCAAGAGTCGGTGCACTCTACATGCTCATGTGTCATGACCCCCTCTGCCACCCTACCCTCACCTCCAGTCAGGGCAGATAAGAGCTAAGGGTTTGACAACTTTTGAGGACTTCGAAAACTCTCCTGGGGCGACAAGGGAACTTGGACAAGACAAATGCAGTGGCTGAAGTAGCCACTGTTGAGGAACCTGACTTAAGTGTTTGACTGGGAAGCAGTGTCTTTCAGCCCTTTTGGATCCCTTTTGAGGGGGTGAGGGGGGGGGGGAGTCTTTCCTAGTGGAATAGAAGTCCTGGGATGGGTTAGTCACGGAGAGGGCCAGCCAGGCCCAGATTGAGGCCTACTGCTAAAGTGGGGGAAACTCAGCTGTGCCTTAGGAAACTTGGGGAGGGGGCCGTGCCCGCGCAGCCCCTGCCCCCACGCAGCACTCCACCAGAGCGGGAGAAGTCCCGGAGGGCTGCGGCCCAGGTCCTGCATTTCTTCGCGGGAAGTGCTCTCTGACAGAAATGGCTCCTGGGAGATGTAGTTTCCCTTCCCGGGAAAGTGGCACTTTTGTCGGGTTATCTCTCGGCAAGCAGCAGACAGGGGAGTAAGTCTCCCTCCCAGAAGGTGCCGAAGTCGCTGAGGAACCCCCAGATCCCACTTCCCCTTCCTCAAACTAGAGACCTGCCCAGAGTTGTGGAGGAGGCAAGACGTACCTTTCTGCTGAGGAACTCCCTGACTAGGGAGGCGGCCACCTCCTCCACGAAGAGGCTGTCCATGCTGCCGGCTCTGCCCACGAGACCGCGGCCAGCCGCAGTCCCAGGCCCCTGGATCCGTTGGGGCCAGTATGGCCGCGTTGCCGTGGCGACGGTGTCGCCAGAGCCAGCGAGACTCCTCCCCTTCCCTGGGAGCCTGCGAGCAGGGGAGGCGGGAGAGGAGGAGAGGGGAGGAGCGTCCTTTAAACTGGCTTCTGAGAACCTGAGCGGAACCCTGAAGATGGAAGCCCAGTACTGCCCTGAGCTCTGACCCCCACCCCCACCCCCCCACCCCCGTCTCTGCTCTGGCCCTGTCCATCTGGGTGGCCAACGTTAATCACTGCTCCAATATGGATGTCCATTTCCTCAGATGTGAAATGAAAAGAAATCCTAACAGCTTGTCCCAGAAGTCACCTGCAGCGCCACAGCTTCCTGTGTTCACCAGGGTTAACTGTCCTGGAAGGCCATTTGCTGGCTTGGACTGTGTGGGGCAAGGTGACCCAAGATTCTGGCCAACTTGACCCTGAAATTAAAGAAGTCCTTTGGCACTCGCTTTCCCATAGTGAGACTGCCAGTTTTTGAGTACCAAGAACTTGTCACACATGATCACATCTCTGTTCCTACAACTTTCAGGCAAGGTTGCTACTGTTAGCCCATTCTTTAAAAGAAGATATTGAGCTTCAGAAAGATTAAAATTTTGCTAAAGATCACACAGATAGAACTGGCAAAGCTGGGATTCCAACCAAGCCCATGCCAATGCCAAATACCAGCACCCCCAAACTCAGTCACATGGGCACACCTTCATAATCTTCCCCCCATGTACAGATTCCCTGTAAAAAATGACCTTGTACGTAGTACCAAGGTAGCTTAACTAGCAGACTAAAAGTGGATTGAGGTATCAACAGTTCACGCCTTCTAGGGCCCCTTTACTTTTCTTTTCTTTTTAAAGATTTATTTATTTGTGCATACAGAACTGGGGTACAGGCCAGAGGTTTAGAAGTGGTGAGAGGATTGACCAGAGACAGAGTGGAGAGCAAAACAGGCCGACTGAAGAAGTGCACAGCTGAGGGGAGCAGCGGGCGGGTCAGGAGAGGTCTGCCACGCCATGTGGTCACCTCCAGAGCTGGGGATCGAACTCATGCTGAAGTGGCGTTAGCCTGCACCACCAGGGAGGGCTCTGGGGCTCCTTCCCTCAACTCATAGATGCCATCTTTTTCTTGTGTCCTCACATGGTCTTCTCTCTTGTGCCTTCTCTTCTGATGACACTAAGGACAATGGTCATATTGCTTTAGCCCATCCCCACCCACTGCCCCCACTATGACTTTTAACTGCATTACCTTTGAATAGCCCTGTCTCCAATTATAATTACATTGTGGAATACTGGGGGGTTAGGATATCAACTTACAGATTTGGGGGGACAACCCAGCCAATAACACCTATAGTGGACTTCTGTATTATTTTCTTTAAACTGACATACATGTTTATAAATTTATTCTTAAAAATATTTCCAGTTTATCAGAAATGGGGCGGGGGGGGGAGTGCCCCAGACTATGGTGATGGCACACGGGGGATTTGGTGATGGGAAGCCCACAGGGAGTACAACTGAGATGGAAAAAGGCACAAAATGATGTAAAAATAAGCTATTATATTAAAATAAAAAATATATATTTCCAAACAGTAATACCCACAAAACCCTGGGCTGGATGTGCTTATTAAATCTGTAGCGCATGTTCGATGAGTTAAATTAGCACCGCACTATGAAGCTGTCCACACCCACTGCAGTACGAGTTTGACCCTCAGTCAGTGAAGTGACTCACATGGCACAGCAGACCTCTCCTGACCCAGCTGCTGCTCCCCTCATCTGTATATTTCAGTAGATCTGCCTGTTCTGTTCCCCACTGTCTCTGGTGAATCCTCTCACCCGCCCCCCACCCCTCACCTCTGGCCTGTGCCCTAGTTCTTGTATGCATAAATAAATAAATCTTTTTTTTAAAAAAACCTGTAATGCACTCAAACAAATATATAACAAGAAAGATATACAGTCATCCAAAATCATCTTGTGCCTTAGGGTGGCACACAATCTCACTTAGGAAGCAATTGCATCATACTTGCAACACTTCCTACTCAGGCCATGTTATTATCTCAAAGCATTTTTCACCTCCAACTGACAATACTTCTCTGAGAAGCTGTGTGACAGTGTATGAGTGAAGCGGAGCAAAGCTGCTAAATACCACATGATGCAGGTCCCCTGCAAAGACATCGTAATAGATGTATATCATTAAGAGCACATGAGAGATTTGCTCTCAGGTCAGAGATTGTGTATCATAGCTAGTAGGTGTTCTATTTAGTCAGAGGAAAGAGAGATTCCCCTGCAGGAGGTAGATCAGAGTAATATAAAGGCAAGGAATTAAAATTCATTCATTCGCCAATCCATTTATTCATTAATACATCATTCTGAGTTTGCACATGCGTCCAATGCACAACATACTATAGATTTAGCATAGTGCCTTCCGGGAGGAAAGACTTGAGAAGAGCAGGGAACAGAGAGAGACATAAACAAATTCATAAAATACTGAGAAAGCACACACTGTGCATACAAAATAGATATTCAAAATGTCATAGATTAAAAAAGAAAGAAATCAGAGGAGGCTTTTGATGGGAGCAGAGATCACAATTGTTTTAAAGGTGATCAGAGATCATTATCTGAAGTGCTTTTGGGCTATTAGAACAGAATACCATAACCTGATGACTGAAAACAATAAAATTCTGGACGTTGGAGGCCCAAAATCAAGGTCCTTGCAGATTCAGTGTCTGGTGAAGACCTGCTTTCCTGGTCATAGAGGGCTGACTTTACAATGCTGCTTCCACTAACAGTAAGAACAAGGGGGTTCCTGGGGTCCCTTTTTGTAAGGCACAAATCCTCCCCCAAACCCCCACCTGTTATACTATCACACTGGAAGTTAGGATTTCAATACATGAAAGGGGGATGGAAAAGTTAACTCCCACATGAAGATTTCAATATATTCAGACCATAAGTTTCCTGCAGAGAGGGCAGGTCTCAAAGGAGGAGCATTCCAGGCAGAGAAAACAGCAAGTTCAAATGTCCTGAAGCAGTGTGGCACCTGAGAGCTTATGAAACAAGGATGCCTGAGGGTAAGAGTGAAAAAAAAATCTGAAGCCATGGAGCCCAACTACAATTATGAAGACATAGCCATCAAAAGAACTCAGGGGCCCTCCCTGGTGGCGCAGTGGATTAAAGCACAGCACTAAAAAGCTTTAAGTCACTTCCGCATGAGTTCGATCCCCGCCTGCCCCGGAGGAGATCCACATGGCACCGCAGACCTCTCCTGACCTGCCTGCTGCTCCCCTCAGCAGTGTACTTCGTTGATCTGCCTGTTTTGCTCCCCATTCTGTCCCTGGTGAATCCTCTCACCCTCCGCATCTCTGGCCTGTACCCCAGTTCAGTATGCATAAATAAAAAAATTTTTAAAAAAAAAAAGAACTCAGGTTTTTAGTCTGAATTAGGTTTTGAGCAGAAGAAAGACAAGATCTGATCTAAGTTTTGATAGGAGTCCTCTGGCTTGTGTGTGGTAATAGATTGTAGAGAGGCAAATATGGAAGCAGACACTGGCTAAGGGACAATTAAATAATCAACAGTGAGCAATCTGGGTAAATATAGGCTACACATATCAGTGTGGGTGTGTGTGCACACACACATACACATGTGTGATTTCTCCAACTTGGGGTCATTTTTACCACATTGAAATGAAATGGTTAAGCCTGGGAATCACAGAGGTGCAGTTTTTTTCCAAACCCACAGTCAGCTCCTAAGGACTCTATAACCTTATGATAACCTTAAGATGTCAAATAAAAGGGGACAAGCTGGTCAGGATGGGAAGGGAAAAGGATGTCCTGCCAGCAATCTGGGGGAGAGACTAGATTGCATCACATGTCCATGCTTGCCACAGATCCCTGCCAGCATCCTGACTTCTTTGCAGTGTGCATCCCAGAGCTACAGCGGCCCTCAGATCTCTGTGAGGGAGCCTGGCTCTCCCACTGCAATGGGAAAGGCGGCAGGGGTCCTGATGAATGGTTCCTTATACTACACATGTCAAAGACATGACAGCAATGTCCTCAAATAAGGACCCAATACTTAATAAAGCTCTATAATCATTTTAAAAGAAAAAGCTGCTTTTCCAAGTTCCACAAAACAGGATAAGCCCATGGAGCAACTTACTACATATGAATTATACTGCAGTATCTGGTAAACACAAATTCTCCATGCCACACTCTGGCCTAAAGCAGACAGCATTGGCCAGGATGAGCCTGGGCCTCACCAGTGCCTCGTGGGTGTTTCATTTGCTTTCTCAGATTTCAGTGGACCGCTCTCCGAGCCCAGCACTGGCGTGCGAGTGGAAAAGTTACCCCCAAACGTTTACCTACAGTGTAATATCCTCATATAAATGTAAAGACTACTTTAGCACCCAAATAGTAATTTGTGGGGAAAATGTAACCTTGGTAAAATTTTTTTTTTCTAAGATTTATTTATTTGTACATACAGAACTGGGGTACAGGCCAGAGGCTCAGGGGTGGTGAGAGGCTTCACCAGAGACAGAGTGGGGAGCAGAACAGGCAGATCGGCGAAGTACACTGCTGAGGAGAGCAGCGTGTCAGGAGAGGTCTGTCAGCCATGTGGTCTCCTCCTGGGAAGGCGGGAATCAAACTCATGTGAAAGTGGCTTTAGCTTCTCAGTGCTGTGCTTTAACCCGCTGCGCCACCAGGGAGGACCCCCTTTCTTTTATTTTTATAAAACTTTACCAAGGGGCCCTCCCTGGTGGCGCAGCGGGTTAAAGCACAGCACTGAGAAGCTAAAGCCACTTTGGCATGAGTTCGATTCCCGCCTGCCCGGGAGGTGACCACATGGCGTGGCAGACCTCTCCTGACCCGCCCGCTGCTCTCCTCAGCAGTGTACTTCGCCGATCTGCCTGTTCTGCTCCCCACTCTGTCTCTGGTGAAGCCTCTCACCCTCCGCATCTCTGGCCTGTACCCCAGTTCTGTACGAATAAATAAATCTT